CTCGCATCGTATGGGTTTTGGCTTTCCTTCAAGTTTATGCTAATCTTTAAAAGATGGGTTGTTTAAAACTAATTCCGAATATCAAGCTTAAAATAGATCAAATCTGCTCCTCGACAGAGGAAAGGTATAACTGGTTATTTTACAGGGACTCTTCTGTGTCAATCGAAACTCCAATATGACGATACTTCATTTTGATATTTTTGCTGTTGTAATATATAATATTTAAATATTTGGTATCATTTGATAAATATATTATGTAATATTTTTGATTTTGTATCAGATCGGAAATTCAAGCAGGCTGATCCGTACAGAGAGAGCTGGACAGTTGAAAATGCTGCGAAGTTGTCCAACCAGCCGATAAATATAATCACAAATAGGCCGATTGAATATTATGCTAATGGACATGGACCAACAAAGGGTGTGGAGATTGGCTGGAGGGAAACTCAGAATGAAACACACGAACAACGGGAGCGTGACTTAGCTAAAAACCGAGCCAAAAAGGAGAGAATAATTAATGAAAGAGAAGAATTTCACAGGTAAAAGACTGGGAAATTTTGATGTAGATTTTATCTGTATTAATTTGAAACTTTGGGTCTTTTCTGCACGAGTTGGTATTAAGTTTAATAGTTTATAGAAACTGATGTATGACTTTAGATGTCACAAAAGAATTGCAATTATCAAAGCTCTATTGCTAATAAAGGTATTTACATTTTACCATATATTTGGAAAAATGTGTTTGGATTAGAGTATGTGTGAGTTTGGAAGGATATTTTGTTAAAAATCCTTTGCCCCTAGGATTGTATTCCAGGAAAGATAGATGTAATGTTAGGAATGAGATAATCATTGGCACGGTAACAAATATGTTTTTTTGCTCTTTAATTGCCCAGAGTAAAGAAGGAGCAACTGGAATTTGCAAGGCAGGAGCGACTTAGAAAATACAAGGAAGGCCAGGAGCTGAATCGACAACAGAGGCGAGCAGTGCGGGATGATTTCATACAGTTCCAGAAGGAGAAAGAAGAAAAAGCCCAGAGATACAAACAAGAGAGATTAGATGCTATGAGGGAAAAGCGCGCGAGAAAGGATATTGAAGACACTGCGAGAGCGAGGGCTACTGTAGAAGCGAAAGAAAAGCAACTGGTAAGTGTTTAGTAGAATCTGGAATTATCGTTTGATTGTGAAAGAGAGAGAATGGGAGTGGTTGTGCTTCTAAGGAAAGTTACGTTGTTCGAAACATAGTTTAAAAATCTGAGTTTGACAATAAGAGTATAGTTGGAAAAAAACTGAATTGAACTCCATAGAACTTGTTTATAATTTAGAATCCCTTTTCACAATCATTATGCAATAAAGGACATAAAAGTAGGGGGCATACATACAAATATGAGCATATGAATGCTTAAAAGTTACTGTTCATATCTCCAATTTTAACTTATTCAATATCTTATCATGCGGTGGAGCCTTGGCCATGCCAGTGGGCTCCGCTAGCTGCTTTCGCAAATACAGAACGTTTTTTCAATTGTAAACAGTCCCCCCCCCCCCTCTTGAACTACCATAGGTAATTGTTGTTTTTGTTAAACATATTGCAAGTTTTCTTAAACGCTTTCACAGCTGTTATCTACTTGTAGAATGGTCAGACCACACGTGACACTGAGCGACGTGAAACATTCGAAGCATCTTTGGACAGTGCGATCAAAATGCAAGAGAAGAAATTAGATAGGTTACGTAAGATTCACGCATCGAGGCTGAACAAAGAGGACACGCGCACTAGCAGGGCGTTTCAGGATAGAAATCTACGTGAACATGTTGGAGATCAGTCACGGCAAATGTATCGTGCAAGCATTCTTCCATGATCACAATTTTCAGTCTTTTAATTTATATTTTACGATAGATGTTTGATAAACCTACAGGTAGTATTCAAACACGCCATTAGAGGTATTTACCTAAGATGAGTGAGTCATGGTGTCAGATATAGAATACATAATGACCCAGGAGTGACCAATTTGTCCTTAGGGGTATCGCCCCTTCTGAAAGGGTTGGTACTTTCAAGGGATCACGGGTTAAGCAAGGGGTCCTATTGAGGTTGATTTAGCGCTGGCGCTTTTGGCACAAAGATAGTGCAGGGCTCTTTAGAGGAAGGTGAATAGCGTAACCTAGCAGCCTTCGTTTTGCCGCCTGACTAAAGTCATAGGGTGAATTGCATAGTTGGAACGACTATAGGTATGTTTCCAATTTTCTTAAGAACCAATGAAATTCCACAGACATCCCCTTGTTTTGTTGTCCACGGTTCAAATGTTACACAATGCATATCCCAGGGGGTATGTAAAGATTTGTCACTGTATCATTGTAACAAAAAATGTTGAGGGTTTTATTTGACATGCTTGCTTGACACCAAAGCGAAATATGATAATCTAGGCAAATCGATTAATGAAATCTATTTGGGAGCCAGACCCAAAGAACTATCAGTTGTAATCTCCCTATGAATTCAAGAGGAAGCAATGAGTACAACGCCTATTTGAAAATGGTGGTCGTCCATTAATTTATTTCTTTGTCGTTATAAGGATGTTTTGCACTGTCATGTTTACTATTACATAGTCACTGAACAAACTTTCATGGTGCAGGCTTGTTTAATTGATATCTTTCCTATAATAACCGTATATTGAATTTGATATGTAAACTATATTTATAGCCGAATAGGCGCGTTATCACGTATTGTAGAAGCAAGAGGACTGGTAATGATAGTGACGTCATTGAATGAACTATTTGTATTCTGCCAGACATTGTCACGGATTTGAGTATAATCTTATCTCTTCTTTCAATATAAGATTGTCTTGTCAAGCATGGTGCTTTTTGCCCTAGACAAAATTATATTATGACGAGTTCGAAAAATTAATATTATGAGTTGACGAGACAGTCTTGTAAACAGAACAAACCCCATTTCAGACTGAATATCGCAGGTTCTAGAGAGAACCTTGGCACAAAATAGATGTCAATATATTTGAGCTCGTTTATTTGTACCTCTTTTTCAATTATTAATTGATATCAAATAAATTTGATCCGCAATAGTTAATTTTCCTGCCTGCAAATAATCTCTTTTTGTCATCTACACTGTATGAGGGGGGATTTTAGAGGTACAAGAGCCCACAATCTGGACTAAAGTTTGTATAAAAAAGGAAACCCGGACTGAAAGGCGGTAAGTACAGTATTAAAGACCAGAAAAACCGCATGTTTTCCAGAGAAAAACTCAAAATCCGGTGACTAAAATTGGCCAAACCGTAAATCCCTTAGATCCCCATGCCCTCCTCCTGTATCAAACAAACTCTTTGATTGATTAAGGCTCCTTATTTACGTATGTTTTTTACGGTTTAAAAACAAGGGAGTATATCACAAAAATTTCTCATGTTAAGAAGGTCAAAAATGGTATTACCAAAGTGATCTTTGGTTAACCCCGAACATAGAGCCATAAATGTATACAGTACCTTTATTGCAGATAAACGAACAACTTTTGTGAAAAAAATAGATTAAATATAATTTATATTAAAGGGGTTGCAACCATAATTGGCTTTAACACTTTCTTCTAAACCATATCTCGTAAGTGGTAGAATAATTGCTGTAAAATAATTCACTATGTTTTGAAAAATTAGGTCACTTGAAAATTGTATGGTATGTTTATTTTTCTGTACTCTTGAACATTTCAAACTGATTTGTGTACAAGTGACAGACGTTTGGTTTGAGCAATTGTTACACGTTCGTTGAAGAAAATTTGCTAATTTGCTAACTTCCATTTAGGTCAGCAACATATCTTAAATAAAAATGGTAAGGATTGCTATTTAATGTAAAATGAGACAGTGGCCTTGGAGAGCGGTGGTCGCCTGAACATTTTGGCCTTCAAATATTCCTCAAGAATACCTCAATAAGAGAGTCTTTGATAAGTACATAAGAGAATATTCGGTTGCTTTTGAAGCCCCTCCCGAAAAGAAATGAAAATTGGGAGTGAAACTTTGTCCGAGAGGCAATCACTCTATGGAAATCTCATACGCCTTTACCTGAAAATCCTTAGAAATCCTATTGTTTTTTGTAGAAATCTCATGCACTATTTGCAAGAGTGAATTGCCCCTTCCTGTTTTCATCCATTTTGGCTCATATAGAAAGTCTGTGTCATATTCGAAAATTATTGAAATTTCTCATTTCATGACGCAAAATAAACAATCTAAAGATAACAAGAAATGATAACAAGGCAACCAATATTGCCATACGGAAATGATTTCAAAACTTTATAAAAACATACCAAATAGATTAAAACCACAACATAAAACTAAAATGAAATAAGTTTCTACATTATAAATGTTTCATTAAAGGATTGCTGCCGGTAAAGACTTACAACCTCTGATATGACTTAAAATAGCTAATGGAACGATTTCATCTGCTTACAAATAATTTCAGTGATGCAGTCTTGTACTCTTGCTTTCCAGTTGCAGCAATTTAAAAAAAATTAAATTGAGTTATGCTCAAACTGTCAAAGTTAAGGCGATCTGATAATTCTCAATTTAATGATTTACAGAATAAAAGATTTTTCATTGTGAAACGACAAAATAACGTGCTACTTATGTGTTTTTACCGCCTCGTTGAAATAAAGTTCACCGCTAATGTCAAGATATCAAAATCCTCCACCATGGGCACCATGTAAAGCTCCTTTGTTGGAAAGGGATGCTTAACAAAATATATCAAGAAATGAAGACACACTTGGAGCGTGTAATTATTAAGCTATTTCAGTTTTTGAAAATGTAAAGAATTGACTTGCAATGACCATAAAAGCACCCCTTCCCTCCTTTAAAAGCCCCTTCACTGGGAATTAGATTATTTCCATGACAACATCTAAATGCTGCAACGCGTTTTTCACCCGTGAAGCCCCCGTCTTCCATTTTGAACGCGCTTTCCTTCAAATTCTTCGGCACGTGATTTTCAATAACCAATCAAGCATTACGATTGTCTTTCAGATTTTGACAATGTTATTGTCAATAAAGAGGCCCAATAAAAAGTTGAAAAATCGAGGAAGCACAGACGTCAAAAATACTCTAGGAGACAGATATCAACATATCAGGGCGTTACTGTATCACTAAAGTGATCAGCCTGTGTTGATTTAATTCGTATTAGCTTCCTGGAAGCTCGAGATTACTCGGTCCATAACTTGACGGGTATTTGCAACGGGACCCTGGCAGCCGATTGGCCATTGGAGACAAAGTTCTTGCTTGCAACATTCGCGTCTTTTTTAATTTAGTTACATTTAAACCGAAAAACACCTCAAAGGAACATACAGACGATAGAATTACTGGAACAAAGACGGAAGAAGCTATGGCCTTCACAAAGTCCAATAAACTTGTGGAATAGTAAGTTATTATCAAATTTCACTCCAATGATTTGTCCTAGTAGGCCCTGGATTTACGATTAAAGCCTACAATTTATTCAAAAGCTTATCAAATACAAGAAAATGAGCGGAACATGCTCCGTATTACTGAAAAGTTTGGGTATCTGCTTGTTCAAATTTATAGCATCTTGCGAAGGTATTAAATATCTTGCTACTGTACACGTAGCGAGATATCTTACAAGTGTGGCCGAAACGGTTGTGAATTGTCCTTCCGTTATGTTTTCAAATAAAAGAAAATAATCAGATTCCAGCGAACAAAAGCCGCTCACTCGATGGATTTATATTTTGTTAGATAATCGGTCTGATGTATTTTTGACAAATTTTGTGCACTGACCAGTATCGCAGTTGCTCTCAAATGATGTAGTTTGCAGCAAGTCCGCTTTTGTTTGTCCTTGAACTTTTTAGCTGGCCACTTAGCACCACACATTCGGTAGTTTTGGGAATTAGTTTTGTTAGAAGAAGAACCTGTTACGAAATTGTGTTTGTGTAGACCCTTCTGTTACTGAAACAACTCGTTGTTGACTTTGATTCGTGTTTGAGGTTTCTATAATGTCATTATGCTTGCTTGTTACATGTCGTCGTGTGGTTGATACCATTATCAAGGATATAGGAACTGTTTAAAACTTTGGGGGCACGAATTTTGAAGAAGCCATTATAAAACATATGAACAACATTGCCAATAAATTCTGCATTCATAGGGAAAATCTCTCTGGCTATGTTTGCTAAGAAATGATCTTATGGTCTTATTTCATTTCTAAAAGAACAACTTCATAAAATTTTGATTTTACTTGTCATCTCAAAGAAAAAGATTGCTCCAGTTCATGAAATACAGCATCCAAATGAATCACCCCAATTTTACAATTAAATTAAAGAAAAATTGAGAAGCAGTAAGTTGAAATTTTCTCCAATATTTTCTTGTTCTGTACTTCAAAAATATTTTAAGGCCCTTGTTAATTATGCTAATAATTACCCCTTTCCATAATTGATAGTTATAATAGTTACCCCTTTTTTGTCTTTTTGAGGTATATATTTCATAATTAAGACATATTTCTGACTCTTTTTATTTTGTTAAGTAAACTAGCTTCAATCCATTTACATACCCTGTGAGTCAAACTTACCTTTGTTGGTGTTGTGGGCTTATATGGTGAAATGCCATTCAGCTTTATGTTTTTGGGGTTTCATAAGTCTTATTCTATATTCTCTGTCTCCTTACCATGGGAAAAACCCTAAAATGGATAACAGTTTTGATAGTTTTGCTCTGAAAAGGTGCTGTCCATAAAAAGAAAAGATGACGATCTAGCTAGTTTCTGTGAAGAAAATTCTTCTCTATCTCAGATTTACTAAACTGTATTATACAGAGTATGTTTTCATTTCCTATAAACATCTTCTCACTAGGCTTTCTTTCAAATATCTCCAATAACTGCCAAAAGTCTTTGAACACTAACATAGGTTTTCAAAGGCAAATTCAGCCATCCCCCTCTCCCCCTAGGAACAATGTTGATTTACTATAGAAAAAAGAAAGGGGTTATGGAGTACGCTTTTTTCTGTGGATTGTTTGATATTTTTCTTTACTTTCAACATTGTTTTGGGAGAAAAGGGGGGCGGAAGTGGTAGTATTTAAGAAAACAAATGAAAAATAGAAAAGCACAGTGCAAAGTGTTAGGTGTTCCAAGTAATTTTGGCAGTGATTGTCTATCAATTTAAAGGTAATTGATGTCTGTTTCTTCTTGTTAAATATGCATCAAAGTTAGAGTTTTTGCCTTCTTCACTGGTTCTTTGGTGAAGTCCTCGTGAAATTGCTAGTAATTGTTCTTGCCAGCACTTCTGGTTTTATCTCTTGTATAAAATCTATTATTGATGTCTTTAATTAGTTAACAAGTTATCTTTCAACAAAATTTTCTGTTGAAACATCACTTCCTTCAATAAGAAATAATTGCAAGATTCTTGTCGTGACATGTTTAGTAAACATTATTATGCAAATTTTTCTCTGCTGCAGGTTACTCATCTCATAACATGAAATTTTAAACACCATAAAATAAGCACTGGTACATCCTTTGTTATTCAACTCCAGTTGTTTTACTCATGATTGCCTCTTCCAAAGAAGAATAATATTTTCAATTTGGTGTGAAAATTCACTCCTTCTTTCTTCCTATATCAAAGAGTTTGCTTTTAAACAATTCCTTTGTCCAGGGGGTCTCTTTATTAAAAAATGCAAGTCAGTGTAGCCATTAATTTCCCCTTGACTTGGAGATTTTCAAATTCTGTGGTTCATTGCTTTGAAATCTTTGATAGCATTTATGCTTATTTTAGCATTTACACTCATGGCTGTAACAGTCTCTTGTGTCTAACATGACCCAAAGGCAAGAATATTCACAATGTGATTTAAGTTTATGTTTAATATAACATGGAGACTACTCATTTGACTGCTACTGTTCACTTGGTACAAGATGTAAATGTTTTCATTTAGAAGCATTGGTTTGTCTTTGGTCCTAGGGGAAAATGATATATTTTGTGATTTATTAGCTCTCAATCTAAAAATTTGAAAATGAGAGGAATATGATAATCATAAATTAGTTACAATTTTCTTGAGTTTCAAAGAAAAGTGCTTCAATCAGTCATATTCATATGCTTCTGACATTCCAGAAAACTTTCTTTCGTTTTTGTGACGTCATGGTTTTAGTATTACAAAACCACATTAAGTAATATCTTTGACTCAAAAAATCTTTGTGGTTTAGGTGACTTCTAGAATCAATCTTCATCAAATCATATTATGTTGCTTCATTTTAATCTTCTTCCTTAATTGAATAATATGATTTTGATGGTTCATAATATTAGATTTAGGCATATTTTTGGTTTTTAGTCCTGTTTGTGTCACCATTTCTTGGTGTTATGAAAATCCAGCCCAGATAGAAATCAATGGAGGTTTAGTTTGAATACAGTATTAAGTTATGTAATAACATTTAAAACTTGAACCATGCCTAATGTTTGCAAAATTTTGCTATGAGAAACCTAACTTTGACTCTAGCTACTCAGATTTGGTTTCTGTTGAAAAATCTGCTCAACTGTTTGCATCTCCAATGCAACTGAACTTAACCCTGAAGTCGATGTGACCACACCTCGTGATTCCTACGCCTGGAATTACAGAGAGCTGGCGACTATCTCCACTCTGGGTGAAAGTTTGGTCATGCCAGAGACTCGAATCACGGACCCTTGGGTCTGTAGTCAGCGCCTCTAACGACTGAGCCATCCTCGCACCTTAAACTCCAGTTCTTCTTATAATTTTCAGTTATCTCTTAGTATCACTCCTTGGAAATCCCTGACACCTTTGGAGAAAATCCTATTGTTTTATCTAAAAATCCCTAGAATTCATTTGGCTTTGATGGAAATCTCATCCGTTTTTTACAAGAGCGAATTTCCCTCTCGTATCAAGTAACGTCTTTTGCAGTTTAAAATGGGGTGCTGTTGAGGAAATAGAAAAATCTATTTTGGGGTTCCAAGATATTTGTCAGGTATTGGGGTCCATAATGCTACATGTTTTTGCTTTCTTTCACTTGAATAGTCAGAGTTATGGATAATTGAGCATTCTTGGCGCCATCAAATGAGAATTCATAAATGAGTCAGAAAATGTTTGTAATTAGTCCATCTCTGCACTAGTTGGAAATACATTGAGCTCGTTCTCTCCACTCTTGAGGTTTGGTCACCAGGGACTTGACCACGGACCCTTGGGTCTGTAGTCAGCGCCTCTAACAACTGAGCCATCCTCGCACCTTAAACTCCAGTTCTTCTTATAATTTTCAGTTATCTCTTAGTATCACTCCTTGGAAATCCCTGACACCTTTGGAGAAAATCCTATTGTTTTATCTAAAAATCCCTAGAATTCATTTGGCTTTGATGGAAATCTCATCCGTTTTTTACAAGAGCGAATTTCCCTCTCGTATCAAGTAACGTCTTTTGCAGTTTAAAATGGGGTGCTGTTGAGGAAATAGAAAAATCTATTTTGGGGTTCCAAGATATTTGTCAGGTATTGGGGTCCATAATGCTACATGTTTTTGCTTTCTTTCATTTGAATAGTCAGAATTCTGGATAATTGAGCATTCTTGGCGCCATCAAATGAAAATTTATAAATGAGTCAGAAAATGTTTGTCATTAGTTCATCTCTGCACAGTTGTAAAATATATTTATTGCTCGTTATGTTCCAGTCATTTACATTTGTGGCCACCAAAGTTTCCTAACAGTTTTCCTATATTTGATTAAGTACTATTTTGCTTAATCACGATACATTTTCCATATAAAGACCTCCTTAAAAATCTCCAGTGGTCTTTCCGGGATGAATCCGAAACTCCCCTGGAAAGGATATGTGAAGTTTCTAGTTTTTACTTCAAAACTCTGCTTTTGCTGTGATTTTCGAACTATCATAAACAAATAAGTCTTTAGAAACCAATATGTAATGTACCCATTCTGCATGAAGGATTGCAAACTTTGCGGAACGAACCTATGAATCTATAAAAGAAACTTTTGCGACAACTGATAACATAATCTCCAGTGGTCTTTTCGAGTGGAAAGTTTCTCATTACGAGAAAAAATGAGTGCCTTATCACTTGAATTTCCTTCCTCTACAAACTTACTCGATTAACTTGGATATCCTCTCTCCGTTCTTTTGCCTCCAATGAACAGGATCACAAAAAGACGTCATAGATTTGATTCAGGACTTCTAAGTGATAATCTGATTTGTGGGGGTACATCCGACCTACATGTATGAATTCGCTAGTTTCCCCACAATTATACCCCCATTTCTACTTTTATTGTCCTAATATGGCAATGATGGACTCTGCCCTACCTATTTTTACCCCTCTTCATCTTCGCATAACGAAGGCTAAGCGACCTCAGAGAAAGAGAAGTTATGACGTCATAAAATCTGTTTTAGCATGTTGGTCACAAAGGCAAAAAGTTCACGGTGTGATA